AGGGGAGGATGGATAAAAGAGAGGGGGGAAAAAACAAAAGGATGAGGATGGCTCCAGCCGTTGCTCGTCAGGAGATGATGGCTTGGATGAGGCAACAGTAGACTCTTGTACGCTGTCTCTCTCTCTCTCCCCCACTGACACACACACACACAAATACACGCAATCAGACCTCAAATCTGGAGGGTCTGTGCTGACAAGACCCTTGTTTTACTCCTCCTTTGCCCACCAATTGTAATCACTTCTGAGAGAGCCACTTGTGTAGAAGGAATGGGCGTCTTGAACATCAGCCAGGAGCCGCAACAGGTATTTTCCCCTCAAAGACCAAATCTCTGACTGCTGTCTCACACCACATGTTGCTGAGCAGAACATTGAGAATGTATTCGATTAATATAGGTCTAACTTTTTAATTGAGATTCATCCATTCAGATTTGAAAAATGAGGTCTATCTGCCCTGCGAACATCCTACCTACCAGCATATTTGATCTATTTCCACTCATATTTTAAACAAAGTTACCTAAATTAGAATGACCAAACAAGTGATCCAGATGTGAATTAGCTCTGCCAAAAGCCAATCACTCCACAGCTCTGATGGATGCATTTAAAGAGCACGATTGGCCATTCAGCTGATGTCCCTCCACACAAAGAGAAAAAGAGTCTGGCTGAGACTCCCTGACAATATGGTCTGAGCAGCACTGTAATTTTCCAATCACTAGCCCTTCAGGCCAGGCCACTCCTTAGGGCAGTGAGATCAGATGAGCTCCGGAATTTTCTTTTGTAAGAGGCCAAACTCTATTTGTCTGCTCGCAGGAACAAAAACAATCAGGCAGTCGAGAGAGAGCGGCTTTTTGGTCTCTCTGGAGAAGGGCCAAAGACAGAGCAGCAGGAGGAGGAGGAGGTGGATGGAGAGGGGGCAGTGGGGTGACACAGATAACTGAGCCCCCCCCTCCTGCTGTGGGTGGTTGGTTCTGGTGATTATGAACGGGGAGGCGGCTCAGCACCCGGCCCCCGCTGTCAGGGCTCTCCGCAGGACGAGACACAGAGAGGAAGTGTCACTCTCGGCGGGCCTGCTGGGTCAACCTGGACTCTGCTGAGTCCTGCTGCTCCAGTCTTGGTCCGGTTCTGGAGCAGGGGGCATGGCTGCTGGGCGCGGAGCGGTAGCCTGGACCCTGGCTGTGTAAGCCAGGTAATGGAGTATGGAAGCAAAGCTGCATGGGCCGGTACTGGACGAACTCGGCCACACACACAGCTAAACCTCTGCTACTGTCTGGAAGAATGTGTTAGAAAAACCAGACTGTTGAACGTGCTGCATCTGAAGATCTGCTTCTGTCTGTCACGTGTTTGAACGAATGGGGCCCTAATATTTGTTTCTCTTTGGAATAGTCCCCGGGCTGTGGATGTAAGGGTGGATGTAAGGGGGGGGTGGGGGGTGGGAGTTATGCTCTGTCCTCCACCCTTCCCTGGCTGCAGCTCTCTCCACAGGCTTATTTCCCCTCACAATGAGAGGTGACAGTGAACAGTGGAACTCGTCAGTGTGAATAACACACAGTCATGCTTGGTGAGACCCTCTGGTGGAGCGCGACACACACACAGTCGCACATATTGGCGCACACACCGAGGCTCAAGGGCCCAGCGGTAGGCACGCTGTCAACCTCAGTGCGCTGCCTTCCATTACAGCTTAACTGGGGACAAATTGAGCAATCTGATGGGTTAAATTTGACACCTCTGCCCGTTCGACCTGCGTTTGTTGTACAGTACAATCACTTTCCCCGGCTCCATGGGGCGGAAACGGTGAGCTGTGGGACTTGCATGTGTTTTTAAAGATTGCGATCAACATAACGTGCCGTCTCGGATCATTATGAAGGTCGGAAGGACATTTTTCAAGTTTACAAACTAAGCTGAGCTCACATTACTGTACCATGGGGTCTGTGGGGGGTCCCTCAGTGATGGGTTTCTCCTAGTCTTGCAGTGTCCTTCAGTGGCTCCTTATAAGAGCAGTCCATAGCACAACCAGTGGTCAAACTTAATTTACCCACTTTCTCTGTCTACTGCCCCATCAGCATATCGTATCGCATAACTGCTAATGGGCTAATGGAAAGAGAGTGTGGGGGGGGGGGGGAGCGGGAGGAAGACAGCGGTAGTTAGGGAAATGGAGCTCAGGTTCATCCAAACATTTAATAACTTATCCAATCTGGAGCGTTCACCTCTTACTGGCCTAATTATATAATTTCACTTGCCTGGAAGAAGGGGCCAGCGTGGACACTGCTTCACAGTGTCATCACATCATTATGAATTATGCCAGTGTGGCCTAGCGGGCCGGATGAAGTCAGCTCTCTATATATTTTAATGATCACTTAGACAATACGAACATTCGCTGAGCTTCAAATGTGGTCACTGTCAGGCAGAAAAGTGCAGAGACGGAGAAGAGCGAGGTTAAAGGAGAGGAGGAAGATGTTTGTGTGATATGTTTAGGGATGGTGAGTTTAGACTAGCCAGACACACACAGCTTGACCGTGTGGGATCAGGTTCTGTGGTCACCGGGCTGCTAAGGAGGCCAACGTCAGGCTGTCAGAGAGCTAAACACCCGAGTGTTTCAATGGAAAAACAGCAGCTGACACTCTACGCTGGCGGGCCAACTGCTGACCTCATTCTGAGAGCAAAAGGCACTGGACGGATGGGAAGAAAGTCCATGCTTTGTTCCTCAGTGCAGCAGAAGTTTTCTAATAACTTTTAAAAGTTGAAAAAGAAAAAAGGAAAAGGCCGTAATGGTGGGAAAATAGATGGGGCATAATGAAAAGGGCTGAGTGTCTTTTTTTAATAGCTGTAAAATGGCTAATTAGCCCTCAATGATTGATCATTGTGGGAGCAGGCATTGGGAGGTTTGAGTCTCCTGGGCTTTTATAGTTTCTGGTAAAATAATTTTACATTTCTTGTGTAATTAAGAAATGCTCTGTGACCTCTGTGACCTTTGAGTGGGGCATGTGGAAATATTTTTACAAGGGGCTCATTTAATGTCCCGTCTATTAATTGACCATAGGAAAAGGTATGTGAGCAATATCCTGACAAAGAGTGTAAAGTAATACTGCAGTATGCGGGATATTGATTTCAAGATGCAGACGGCCTACCCAGATATTCTGCACTTATCAAACGAGGAGGAGGAGGGACAGCAGGCCAAACCGAAGCTGATCTCTCTTGCACTTAATATTAATGTCTGTTTTGTGGCTATCCTGTTTCAGGAGGACCCAGGTCTTGTGGTGAGGCGATTGAATGACACAGATTACCTGTATGGAGATCCCCACGAGACAGCTGATTGATAATGCATGACAGAAAAATGTTTTTGTTTACCCACATATATGGCTGTGAGCCGGGTTCAGTTCCTTGTTTCTTTTCCCTCAGAAACCTGATTCACCAGACTGAAGTGGATTGAGGGGGGTCAGGAGGTCTCCACTGGCTCCATAGGTACCTTCTCGTCCACATCATATTCATCCCATTCAGCCCGTGTTGTCCTAGAGGGGATATAACATGAAAACATAATCTCACACCACAATTTCATTCCTTCAGCAGCATTAGATGAGATTGAAACTTCCCTGCACACTTTCCTGGGGCTGTCAAATTAGCTGTCAGTCATGTGTCAGAGCCGGCCCCTGCTCATCTGCTCCAATACATCACACAGCCTTTTATATGGATCAGTATGAGTGGGACTCTCTACACAAACGCCAGCAGCTCCTCCGCCGGGACGCCGGGTGATTGATAACATTTCCCAGCTCTTCACACTCATGCCCATTTGTATAGTTGGTTGGAGAAGGGGCCCCTGGTGTCCACTGACATCTACGGTGCCCATCATCGCCTCTCGGAGAACATGACATCAGCCTCAACAACCCGCTCTGATGCACGCCAGGAATGGGCAGCTTTCCATTCATAATGTACAGTGTGACAGCCATTGACGGATCACTTGTACAGGAAGCTTATATTAGTTTTTCCTGAACAATAAAAGTAGTGCGGGAAACTGGCTCAGGTGCCACTCGGAATTAAAGAACAGCTCTTAAATCAACTATTTAACCGCCATATTATCACAGTTGATAAATGTTTATTGCTCATTAGTATGCCCCGTGCAGACTTAATGCTTTAGAAAATGCTCAGCTGCTGACTGGTCTGAGTGTTGAGATCACTGAGGGGAATCCTGAGCGTGTTTTTGTGTACAGTCATATTGGCATATTGGACGGGCTAATGGCCACTTGGCACATAGACAGCTATCCATCCCAATCTCAGCCTCAGTAATCCAATTGAGACAACCTGCTTGGCATGAGGGAGACTCATCTGTCTTTACCGTTCATTAATAGCGCTCCTCCTCGAGCTCAGAGCCCATTCACATTCCTTCGAAACGGACCGAAAGGTAAGCCTGAAACACTGGATCTGTGCTGGAGGGGGGGGGGGCTGGATATATAATCACTTATGCGATACATAATCACTGCTGTGTGGGGTAAAGTATCAGAAAATACGAAACCTCCCTTAGGGATGAGCTACATATTTTTACAGAGTATAAAAACACTAGGTATGTGATTCAGCTCAATACCATGACGTACAGAGCCTTCCTGAGATGTTCTTTTCTGCTCTCCATGGCAGAGCTTTATGACTAGCGCTGGAAAGATGATAATGTTTCTAATCTTGTTAAATTGCACACAGAATTGTCTTCTATGTTAATGATGGGCCGGCCCCCTCCCTGCTCCACTGAGATGCTTACTTTCAATTTGTGTACTGTCATCTCCCCGCCATGCGCTTCAAATTGATGCACCCTCTTCCCTTTAATTAAATCAAAAACAGTCGGGGGTCCAGGTAGGTGGGGGGACATGCCCCCATATACAGCCATCACAAAGACCTGGTTGACTCCAGGACGAATGTGGGTTGCTCCTGTTTGTCTTTCGGTGTGATTGTCTGTGGTTTGTTCAGCCATGTTATGGTGTGTAGGGAATTGACATCACATTTTAATTAAAAAAGCACAAAAAGGAGGTCAATTACGTTTAATCAATTCCATGACTTCTCACTTCTAAATCTTTGTCAAATGGTTTTGTGAAGTTGAAACTATTTTTTAAATTTGGGTTCTACTACGCTCTAACTTTTAAGCAGAAAGGTTAGTTCTTCCTGGTAAATAAATACATGAATAACAATCCCAGGAATCGTTCTCAGGTAGGTTTGCCCTCGAGCTAAGCTGGAGACAGATTCTAAGAAATGAGAGCGTAAAATTCCCACACATTAGGAGACAGATAATTGGATTTCCTGTGTCCTGTACGGTGGGCGGTGCGGTTCCTGCAGCTGTGACATTATCAAGGTAACATAACCTGAAGGCTGCGGTGTAGCAAGGCCCCGCAAGGCCTGTCCTCCAGTTCCACTTCACTGCCTGCTTGGCTATTCATCCTGTGGACCCTGCAAATGAAATTATGGGAGGAAGAGCAAAGGACATTCTTTGGGAATTAATCCCATTTATGCCTAAACCCACTTCAGATTTTTATAGTGAGGGCCTCTTTAGATGTAGGGCACATTTACAATTAGACAAGGCCTTAGGAGGATTGAAAGAAATACTGTGTTTGTTGGTTTGTTGCGAGGGTTATTTGAAGACAGTCAGGAAAAAGGGAAGCTCAGACAGAGAAATTGAATAGTGAACAAGTTATTCCCCCATAAAAATTCTGTTAAGATTGAAACACATCACACAGGTGTCACTTTACTTAGGAGTCTACTGATCCCTTCATTTTAACATAACAGCATGGACAACATCAAACATGTGAAAATGTTTTAATTATGAGATAAATAAAAAAATGTAAATATTTTCCATACTGCTACTGAGAATCTGAATTATTGAGTTGGTCTTAATACCTTCATCTACTTTACCTCAGATTAGCGTAACACATTTTTCTTTATAATTATCAAAATCTTTAAATTATAAAATATTGGACATATTACACTTACTCGAACTGCAGTCAAATTCCAGTCCTGCACATTAAGGCCACACGCCATGCAATTAATTTTTCTGCCACATAAAAAAAAAAAAGACATAAAATCATAAAACATCCATTGCAGTACAAAATACATCTATAATGTTTTAGAATATTGTGCAGTTTTTCCTACCTTGTTTTTCTTAAACACCCTGCTGCAAACCAAAACGGTAAAGCTACATTAACATAACTGAAACCTCACTATGGTAAAATGCTATACTCATAGTGATTTTGACAGTACAAACAAAGGCCTACAGTATATAAACAACGTATAGTATAGCCCACTGTGGGTTTTTGTGATTGAGCAACCACATTAACATTGTCAGGGTAAAAAAATGGAAAGGAAATGTTTAATGACTGTCAATCACTCTGTGGACGTGGAGTCGTCAGTCTGACGGGCCAGGCTTATTAATGTAATTAGACAATTGTATTCAAACATCAAAAAGTGTTCAAACAACATTTTTTGTAGCAGTTTAGCATCAAACTAGGGCAGCTTTTATGCTAGAGCAAAAATGATCAGCAAGTCAACATTTCTGCAATAAAGTTACGAATCTAGATAGTCTTTAAAAGTAATATTTCCTTCTTACCTGTAACACAGAGGCTGTAATTGTACTGCCGTCTTGTTGTAATGCTCTGCTTTGCATCCCTGTTTTCAGCACACATTCAGAGAAAGCACCTGACATCAATTAGTCCTGTCTGTTTGCTCTCGCGAAGCATTGCAGATAAACACTGCCCCCTAGTGACGACACGAGAACACAACCGTGCCACCACAGTCTAATCCCAATGCTGTTTTGTAAAGAATAAAGCCTTTCGTTTGTTTTTTTTTAACGCTGCTTGCTAAATTAAATTAAATTGTGCTTTGTGTTTTTATTAACATGTGCGTATAATAAAAACTAAGCTTTTATTTTCCTTTTTATTTAGTAGATGCTTTTTAATCATGTTAAACTGCCAACCAGACCAAATTAAAGGTTGTTGAGTGGTTGTTGAGTCACCTTAAATTATTTTTAAATGTTAAATAAAAGTGTACAAATATATTTATATACAAATATTTACACTTGCTTCTACAGTTGTATTAAATAGGCACATTATTTAAAATTCTAATTGTCATAGAAAATAAATGATTTGTAACCTGGAAATATAAAGCACCACACACACACACACACACACACACACACACACACACACACACACACACACACACACACACACACACACACACACACACACACACACACACACACACACACTTCAAATATACGTACAAGGGCTGGGCTGATTACAGCTCCTTCACTGTCCTCATCAAGACCAGCGCAGACCACAGTCAGAGATGAGAGGGCCCCACAACACACACACACACACACACACACACACACACACACACACACACACACACACACACACACACACACACACACACACACACACACACACACACACAAATCTGCTCTCTCCACTGCACACATACTGTAGTTATAAACACACATACACAAACAAATACATAGACAAACACAAGCACACCATAAACGTCTCGTCAGGCAGCCTCAGAGCTCAGACAGGTCCCTGCCATTATCCCGTCCTCTACCCTAAACACGCAGTTTTAATTTCAAAGCTCTGATTAGCTGATGATTGCATGACAGCCGCCGAACCAGGTTCCCTTTTCGCCCGGCTCCCAGACTGCAACTCAATCATGCCCAATTAGTGGGTCCCCAAACACTCTCTCTTATTAGAGGACTCATAATCGACTCATTGTGTCCTGATTTGGCAAATAAATCACTCTGGAGGCTGCTGACTCCCCCCTTCCCCCCTTTTCTCTCTCCCCCACTTCCCTCACCCTTGTCTTTCACTGCCCACTCCCTGTCTTTTCCTTGTCCAGGGGTTCAGTGACAACATTTTCAAACGTGCTTTTCATTGGAGCTGACAGTTTGAGCAACGCCGGACTACTTTTTTTATTTTTTTTATTTCCCCTGAAGAATGAAGAATAATTTAGCAGCTAAGGCAAGGCAGGCAGCATGCGGGTGTCCTTGTCCTACAAGGTTAAGAATCCATTCCATCTGAGCAAGAAAGGAGTGAATTAAAATAAATGATGGCCAGATATTTATTGCAAGTTTGTAGAGGAAGCCAAGTCACTCCAGTGGACCAGTGTAGCCGCGTGACCTCCCTACCTCTGCCTGCCTAACTGGGGAATAACACCCAATGTCACATTACTCCTATCCTGCATTTCATATATTTATATCCCCGTATATATGTATATCTATAAATGCATGTGTTGGGGACATCAGGGTAGGACGTATATGAAATTATCTGGTTGGATGATGCTAAAAATATAATTGTAATTTGATAGAAGGACGGGAATTCTACAGAAAACTGAGCTTTGGAGACACAGAGATGTCCTTCAATTTGTAGGCACAAAACTCAAGGCCGCCAACACACAGTTAAAGTCAAATGATTTAGGTAAAACGCCTGGCGTTCATTATCGAAATGTTTTCACATTACACATAAACCGTTTCTAAGGTTTGGACAATTTAAGGGGATGTCACCAAATGAATTAGGAATAGTTTTCAGCAGGGCCCGGTGCCATAGCTACAGTTCCTCAGGACAGAGATCCAACATGAGAGCTTTACAGACTCAGCGGGGGGGACCTGCTTGAGCCTGGGGGCTCGCGGAGCACTGGGAGGCCTGTGATGCTGCTCGCATGCAGGAAACCAGCGGACTGTGATGTAGTGGACCCAGAGAGTAGCTCTACCAACATCCCACTGTGACGGTAAGCTCTCTCTCCGGGCACAAACAGCTTCTCGAGCAGCAGCAGACCCTGTGTAGCAACCTCAGGATGCTGCTTTGCTTCATCCAAACCAAACCTCTCCCCCCTGCGTTGCCTCCCCCCTCCTCCACTCTACCGAGGGCTATGTGTTTGGTGTGTTGAGTGGTCATTAGTCTCTGTTTACAGTGGAAAAGAGCCTGGCCAGCTGGCATGTGACGTGTGATGTGCCGCGCTGTGGTCTACCACTGTGAGACCCCTGTGGCAGAGTCGTGGAGGCCCAGCAACCCCCTTCCCCAGGCGGGCCGCAGAGACAGAGGAGAGCCCTCAGCAGATGGAGCCTCCAGTGTTTCTTGTCTCTCTTCCACAAGCAAATAAGAGGTGGAGCGAGCGCTGGAGGTGGGACTGGCCCTGGCCCCCATCACAGATGCCAGGAGAAGGCTGAGACCCAGGCGAGACCCTGCTGGGAGGCTGCTGGGCCGGAACAGGTGCAATCTCAGCCCCTCGATCCCCTCTGTCAGCACCTCAGTGGTGGAGCGCGCGCTCTCTTCCTGTCCTCGCTCCTTCTCATTCACACACTTGAGAGGTGTTGTGGGGCTACATCCACCCATTCCCCTCCGCCCCTAGCCACAATCCCGACACCAAAAATCATCCAGACACACAGAGCTCTCGTTGACTTTTGTTTCCTCCTCAAAAGGAATACAAATAGTTTAGAAGAACATAACACAAGTGTGTTTGTGAGCTTCGGAGGGCGAACAGTGGAGTTGTGTTGACTCAGGCGTTTTCTCGGCTGGCTATGATAAGCTCCTCGGCTGACCTCGCCACTGCCGGGGGGGCCAACACAACCACTCTCCCATCAGCCCTTGCTTTATCGCCAGTGGCTACAAGACAAAGAGGTTTGGCTGTATACCTGGCTGCAGGCGGCGTCCTGCATGATGGAAAGAGTTTATGACAGAGGGGGATTCGTGGCGAGGCCCAACAGGCCACCTTGACCTGTCCCTGCTCAGAGGACCTTGGTGAACCCCATCCCATTGCCCCCCCCGTCCCCCACCAGCGACCTGCCCACTCCAACAGCCACTGAGTTATTATCATAATTTCCAGGAGAAGCATTGCAGGGCCTCTGCGATCAGAGAGCCATCCGTGTTTTACAGAATGTTGTGTGTTTTATTGCCTTTAAGTCACTCATAGGCCAGCGGAGAGCGCCCACAATGATAAGAAAACCAGTCATGTGAAAAATGAAGGACCTCGCGCACAGGACTGAGAGGTGAGGAAGGGAAATAATAAAATACATGACAAACGTGAAGCTCGACTGTATTTCATGTTCAAACCCCTGTCTCGCCTCCCAACCCTCGGCAGCACTAAAAACATATGAGGGGAAAGCAGGAAATAATAATAATGAATCAACCAATCACGCTGCTACAAAAAGAACAGAAGCTTTTTTTTCCCGTGTCGTGGTTTACACTTTTAAAAAAAAACTCTCATTCCCCCTCCCGGGTTCTTTGACAACATGATGGCCATAAGATGCCCAGGGGCATTCAAAGCTGCCACCGTCCCAGCCATTTCATGTCGAAGCCCACCTGGGGTAAACAAAAAAGGACCTAGAGCGACAGAATATTAACTAAAGAAGAGAGGGAAAAAATAGCACTGACAAAACTGAAAATACTTTTCAACCCGTCAAACTTTCGTTCTTAAAAAAGACCTTTTGTGGAGTATTTCCCCCTCCTCTCCCACCACCCCCTGCAGGTTTTTTAAGGTGCAGTATATCTAATGAAGAATAAAACATCTGTTTAATCTAGCTATTTCAAAAGTAAATCCCCTTTTGATCAAAAAATGATATTGATCTGACTGCCTTAGTTGTGTGGCGAGGATTTCTGCTTTAAACATGAAATATCATGGAGTCTTTGTGGCAAATCAATACTGCGGCTGCTTTTTGAGGCTCGTTTCAAAGGGCACGAGCTCCATTTGAATACGGTTGATATAGGTAGTCATGTTATAAATTAATGTGTAAAATATGATCTTGTCCAGGCTTTAAAAGGGGGATGTCTTTATTTTGTTGCCTTTTTAAACTGATAATAAACCTCTCATGACCGCTTCATGGCACCTGACTGACGCTGGCCGGGTCAGCGACAGGGAACCTGTGACAGGCACGCGGCCCCTGGTGGAATGAACTGGTCCTAATACTCCTTGAGTTTCAGCGTGTCTGTCCTCACCCCTCACTCTGAGTCTGCGGGGCCCCGGCATTGGGCCCCATGCTATCTCCACATCTCCCCATTTTATTTAATTACACCTCAGCATATTGCTTTTGGGCCATATGGGAGGCAGATATTGAGACCAGATAAGATGTATAAACTTCTGTCAACACCACAGCATATTAGGTAGAGCTGGAAGCATATTATCTTTATTCTATCCTTCCAATTAGCGCCCAATATCAAAATACATTAACAAGCCTGTCGACGAGGAGCAGGAACATACATTACAGTAACAGGGGCTTTGTCCCTTTTTTATTAAAAGTGTATTACTTTCTTCCGTTTGTATTCTTTTCCACAAAACGAAAAGTCATTTCCACCGAGGGACTCAATAAAAGCATAGATAAATGAACCATTTAAACTCAATGGCCTGAGAACTCCCTGTGCTCAGATGGTGCACATTGGACTCAAGATTTTACAATGTCTACAGGATCAAACTGCAGCTTGAAAAATAAACAGTGTACATTCACACGAGAAAACTTCTTCTCCGACATAAACTCTGAGATTTTGGTGTACCGCCATGTTGGAAGAGTCCCATCAAATCAAAGGATTTTAAACATTGTGTCATTACTGGAACATTTTGAATGAAATATCGGATTACAGAAGCATGCACTGGGGCAACCTGGATTCCTACAGCAGTAATGGCTCCATTATTTTAATAGAAAAATGTCAAGGA